ATATATTGGCAACATGAGTTGCTGTTCCAGTGGGATAGAAAAGGGGCACAGACTCTGCTGTATGGTTTGAGGTGCCAAACCCTGGCAGCTTGAAAGCAGAATAGTGTTGTGCCATGTATGAAATCGATCTTCACTTAAACACAATGTAGTTTATCCTTTGTTAGCACTCGAGTACAGGTTACATTGTAAAACAAACATTTTGCTATGGTGGGAAATGTGGCAGAAAGCGTGAGAAATCCATTGAAGCCCACCTTAACATTGGAAACAGTTAATTGCATTTTTTAAACTGCATTCTGGAAGCTGAAGCTAGTTTTTCACTTGGGAGTGGCAAGTTGCCTGTTAATGAGGATTATTGCTTATTAATGACCCTATTAGCTGCACATCTCACCTCATCGATACAGAGCTTTCTACTGTATCACCCAAACAACCTGGACACTAAGATTTACTCTGAGGACATCAAGCTCCATGTGATATGTCATCCAAGACATGTCTTTTTAACGTGTGATTCAAGATGGCGTGCATTGGTCAAGGGAGCATCTCAAAGCTGAGCCTAGCCTTATCTTCATTCAGTGCCCAGATGCTCTCCTGTTCCTCCTCATGCACAAACACTGGGTCTAATTCTGGTTAAGATCAAAGACAATGTGGGAGTGCGCCTGGTCAATAACAAGCTGCCTTTATGAATTAGCTCATGCATGACTGCAAAATGCAGTCTCCTGCCAATAAGGCCCCATTTCAGACAAGGCTTTGTTAAGTTTCGTATTCCAACGGAAGTGTTATCCCTCAAGTAACATCTTCCACCCAAACAGCAGAAGACTCTAGACACGAATTTCATTTCCAGGGAGTAATAGGCAAGATGTGTTCCCAAATGTGAAGAAGTAATCTTCCATTGTCACAGCAAGGTCTTGATTTGAAAGGAAATGAAACACGATAAGTGCTTTAGGTCCCTTGACCTGTGCCTCACACAATGCACATGGGGAGCATCTCCTTTGCCTGTAGGCTAAACAACAAACAGCTGACAGCTCTGAGCTCAGAATAACTATCTGTTCAGCAGCTGAACTTTCCTGTGTTTTCAGAAACATTGTTTGTCCTTTAAATCCCACTTGGATATTGCAGGATGTGAAGTATGATTACAATATTGAATATGCTTCTCCAAACAAGATCGGTCACCACCGCTCCTGTATAATCGTAAGAAATTTTAAGCAGTCACTGCGATACTATTATTTCTTTTCAAAATCTCTGATAGCAAGATTACTTTCTTATAACTGAATTAGCACAACCTCCTCTTTAGAAAGTCCTCCTAATGCCACTCTCAATTTAACAGGCGTTTGAACAGAAACTGTCTCTTTAGTCGGGCAAACATCCTTCTTTAAATCTATTGAGTGTGCCTGTGTGATTGTCCCATGTCAGTGAACACCCACATAAAAGATGAATTCCAGTGTACCAACTGCTCGTAACTCTATTTCTCAATTACTCTCCGCTGTCGTTTTGCCTCTTTTTTGTGATGTACTTTCATACATAACAGATCAATCGGGGCTGGGAGTTGGGTAAGGCATGCAATAAAGTTTCAACAGAGCCTGTCAGCAAGCATTCATTTGTTTTTATTCCCTTGTACTAACACAGTTTGAAAAACATAATGTTTAATACGTCAATGATTAGGTTTGTGTGCCTGATGAATAACTAATGATCAGTGTTTATAGCTGTGATAATCGTCTGAGGATTAATTGCTCCAAATTTCACAAGGAGAGTTGCTCACCTGGAATTGACTGGGCACAGTCATAAGGAGCTGAATTCTGCTCCTATTTCTTATATTCACTGAGGATTCTGCTGAACCCTCACAGTGGTCCAGGGACTGTCCTTATGTTGCATTTAACAAGCCCTCAGCTAGGTAATTCGGTGATGAGTGAAATAACCCCACAGAGGACGGTATCCCATCACCAAGTCACCCTTTATTTACATGTGGAGAGCCCTTGTCACTAATCCAGCTCCCTCAGAGCCAGCTCTCAGAGTGACACTCCTGTTGATATCTATCAGCCAGGGATCCCTATTGGACCAGGTTAACAGCCCCAGTCAGGGAACTCATATTCTATGAGCTCCACCTGGCTGACCTCATTACAATCACTACACCCCTCCCCCTCTCAGTCTGACGACATAGGCCAGTCCTTTATCTTGGAGAGCCTCAAAACTTGTGATAGGAGTGATGCTATTGTAGTCTGGAGAAACTGAGCGCCAGCTCTCAGATAGCTCCTACCATAGCCCCCGAACCATGACCCCCAGTTCTGAGGAAGGGTCACTTGACCCAAAACATTAACTCTGATTTATCTCCACAGATACTGCCAGACCTGCTGAGCTTTTCCAGCAATTTCTGTTTCTATTTCTGATCTACAGCATCCACAGTTATTTCAATTTTTTTATCAATAATGATGACTTACATTTAAATAGCACCTTAAATGCAACCAGACGCTGCAAGGCATTTTACAGAGATGTACAAAAGAAGAATGAAAGCAAGCTCTGAAAGTAAATGAGTGAAAGCTGGATGAAAAATTTTAAGGAGCCCTTGAAAAAGGACAGAGAGAATATCAAGGAAGAGACAACTGAAGGCATGAACACCAATGGTTTTTATTTACCTGTCCCTGGGATGTGGACATCATTGACAGACCCCTCCCTAATTAGCCTTGACTGAGTATCATGTTCAGGCATTCTAGAATGTAGTTAAGTTTGGAGCACATCGGTAGGTCAGGAGTCACGTGTAGGCCATACTATTATGACAGCAGATTTCCTTCTCTAAAGAGCATTAATGAAGCAGAACATTCTCTGATGGTTGCCATTAAACTAGCTTTCAATCTGGGATTTAATGAACAGAGTAAGTTCTACCAGCTGCTGCACTCGAACTTGAACCTGTGTCATTTCTGAAGAAGGGTCGGTAAACGAAATGTCAGCTTTCCTGCTCCTCTGATGCTGCCTGGCCTACTGTGTTCCTCCAGCTCCACACCTTGTTATCCCCTAAGGGCTAGGTTTCTAAATGACTAGCTCAATGACATTACCACCATGCCACTAGCTCCACAATGTCGAAGGCGTTGAATTCAAAGGTACTAAGAGGCCAGAAGCACTTGAACACATATATTTTGGAGGGTGATGGTTTGGAAGCGGATACATGAATGGTTTGGGGGTGGAGTAGGTTTGGGATTTGGAACTGCGAAGGAACTTGAAAGCGTGAGTGACATTTTTTAAAACCGAGTCATTGTGGGCTGGAAGCCAATGCAGGCAAGTGAGCACAGGGAGGATAGAGGAGCATGGGTTGGTTGGAATTGGGCATGGAAGCAGAAGTCATATCAGCCTTAAATTTATGGAGAGCAGAATATAAGAAGCGAGCCATTGGAATAGTTGAGTGTCAAGGCGACAAAGGGCGTGGACAAGGCTTTCATTCAGCAAAGAACAAGCTGAGGCATGGTGGAGTTGGGCCTGAAGTTACGGCCTTAGTGACAGTGCCTCACATGATCTAAAGGTCATCCTGCGATTCAATGGAATAGCAAGATCGCATTTCCTTCAATCTCGTGCTGTTGGCAGGAGAGCAATGGCATCTGTGTGAGCAGAGATCAGGGCAAGGAATGAAGTCAATGAGTTTGATCTTCCCAACATTTAGGAGCATTCTACCCATCCAGTACCTGATGGTCATGAGCAGCGAGACAGACCAGAGATAGAGGAAGGGTCAAGAGAGACTACAGTGAGATTGTGTGCACGGGGCGAGGGTGATTGTTTGGGCCCAGTTATGGGGATAGCTAATCCTGATGTCCAGCTCAGGAAGCACCGAGGAAGGTAGGACGTGAAGGTCATTTATTTGGGGATTATAGGGGTGGAAATGTAGAGATCAAAGGATGGAAAGCAATGGATGGTGAGAAGCTGTCACGATTCTCTCTCAGGAAGTACAGCTGTCAGTGCATTTTGATGGAAGCAACAGTTCTGTAGTTAATTCTGGAGGTGAATAGATGAATGAAGAAAAGTTTGATAAGTTTCCCAAATCAACTATCGCACAAGTTTGAGATGATAATTAGAAAACGTAATTTGTTCAAGTTTGCTGTTTAAAACCAGACACTTAAACCTGAAGGTGAGAAAATGAAGCAGAATTAATGAGCTGAAAGGTCTGTTTGTACTCTTACACCACATGTCTCTTCACTAAGGATAACACTTCCCTTTGACAGGAATAGTAAGGTGTGAAAAAAAGCAGCATCTTGCACGGCCACTGTTAGTTAGCTGTGACTCCCTCATTCTTTGCAGCATGTAAAATCATCTTGCTTTAGGGCTCATCCCCATTTCACCAATCCATCTCTCTAAGACTTCACCTTCTCAAGTGACAACCCAGACAAGGAATATTGGTGTCCAGTTCATCCAACGCTGTTATCACAACTGAGTCCCAGTCCTGGTGCTTTGCTAATCTTGGTTCAACCTAGGAAGGGAAAGCCTCATCCTTGCTACTAGCGAGTGGCTCCCACATTAAACTGTGTGGGTGCTCCTGCATAGGAGGACAAGATTAGACTTGGTTATAATTACCTTTCAGTTGTAAAGCGTGCCACCGCTGATTGTGGTTAGTTACTCGAGTATGCATTGTGTGAGCAGCCAGCAGTGATGGAAATGTTGCTAATCCCAAGCCAACATCTTCAATGAAAACAAAGAAGGGGGAAATCAAAGTAGTTGAAGCGTTGAACGGTAATTTCCTGTTTGCGTTTCTTATTCATATACTTCATCAAAATTTCTAATAAAATGTGCAGGCTGGGTGAAAATTTTTGAGGAAGGATTGGTTAGTGTGGAGGAAAATGTGCTCATGATCAGTGAGCTGTATTCTCAAAGAAAACAACTATGAGTCAGATTGTTCAGTACGATGAGACATCAAGCTGAGCAATCAAATATACAACATTGTGTTGTGCAATCTTCCTATTCTCTGCAATAACAAGTCAATTCCTTCAAGGGTTTGTAATCCTGCTTTTGTTTTCTTTCCTCTCTTCCAGAACTGCTGTTGTGATTGATCATGGAGAGGCTCCTCTTCTCTCTGCTCCTGCTCAGTTTGACTGTGAAGGCTCAGCTTTGTCCAAAGCGCTGTATCTGCCAAAACCTCTCCCCTTCCCTCTCAATCCTCTGTGCCAAAACCGGGCTCCTCTTTGTGCCTCCGTTTATCGACAGGAGGACGGTGGAGCTGCGCCTAACCGACAACTTCATCACCATGGTGAAGAGGAAAGACTTTGCCAACATGACGAGCCTTGTCCACCTCACGTTGTCGAGGAATACAATCAGCCAGATCATGCCTCTCACTTTCAGTGACCTCCGAGGTCTTCGAGCTCTACACCTGGACAGTAACAGGTTGACCAAGCTTGTGAATGACCACCTGAAAGGTCTGGTGAACCTCCGCCATCTAATCCTGAACAACAATCAGCTCAGCTACATTTCCGAAGGATCCTTCAATGACTTCATCACATGCCTGGAGGATCTGGACATGTCCTATAATAACCTGGAGCAGTTTCCTTGGATAGCGATTGCCAAAATGGTAAACCTGAACACCCTCACCTTGGATCACAATCTAATTGACCACATCGAAGAAGGGACATTCTCTGTTCTTCACAAGTTGGCTCGATTAGACATGACGTCCAACAGACTACAAAAGCTTCCCCCTGATCCTCTTTTCCTAAGAACTCAGCTACTGGTTAATGCCAAAGGCACTCAGTACTTCTCATTGGTTCTCAACTTTGGTGGAAATCCACTGCACTGTAATTGTGAGCTACTTTGGCTAAGACGCCTGACAAGGAAAGATGACTTGGAGACCTGTGCATCGCCATCTCACTTGATGGGAAAGTATTTTTGGTCGATCTCTGAGGATGACTTTACTTGTGAGTCTCCTCTCATCACACGACTTTATTCGACAAAGACGTTTGTTATGGAAGGGCAGGGTGTGACCTTGAAGTGTAAAGCAATCGGGGATCCGGACCCCTCTATTCTCTGGAGCTCGCCGGAGGGGAAGCTGGTTTCCAACACGTCCAGGATGACAATCTATGACAACGGAACCTTGGATATCCTGATCACGACTCTCAAAGACAGCGGCATGTTCACCTGCATCGCTTCCAATGCCGCTGGAGAATCGACCACCAACATCACCATCGGGATTATCCCACTGCCCCATCTCGTCAACTTTACAAACCAAGTGAAGGAGCCTGCCCCGGGCTCCTCCGACATCACCACGTCCACCAAATCCGGCTCGCCTTCCAACGGCACTGACACCAAGAGTTTGCAGGATAAGAAAGTTGTGGCGACTGAACTGAGCACGACATCAGCCCTCATTCGCTGGCCCTCCCAACGCCCGATCCCCGGGATCCGCATGTACCAAATTCAGTATAACAGCTCCACCGATGATACGTTGGTCTACAGGTAAATCATGTCCTTAACAGCTTTCAATTCATTCCCCTTCTGAGAAATAGTGACCATGTCTGAATGAACAAGCACCAAATTGTGACTGAAAGTGCACACTAATATTTCACGTGATCAACTGAAATCCCTGTGCTTGCTGTTTACAAAAGTGTCCATGTGGTTGACATATACTTTTTTAAAGATAGGGGGACAGAGGAGAAGGATGTACTTATTCTGCAGACTCCTCTGAAAACAAAATTGGAAAATACTTTTAAAGAAAAGTTATCAAATCATACAGTGCAGAAGAAGCCCTTTGGCTCAATTAAATCTGCATTAGTCCCACCTTCCAGCCCCAGGCCCATAGCCTTGAATATTACGAACTTTAAGGGCTGATCCAGGTACCTTTTAAAGGTTGTGAGGTCTCCCACTTCAACTACCCTCCCAGTCAGTGCATTCCAGACCCACACCCAGTCTCTGAGTGAGAAAATCTTTCTTCAAATCGCCTGTAAACACCTCAACTCTCACCATAAAATGATGCGCTCTTTATATTAACCTTTTGACGACGGGAAACTGCTGCTTTCTAATCACCCTGTCCATGTCCAAGAATTTTAAAAGAAATTGCAATTTAAGCACAACCTGTGGGAAGAAAGTATTTTTTTTTCATTTCCAGCTGTAATTCTCTCTCCTCTGAGTCAGCAGACTCATTCTCAAGATTTGAGCAAAGAACCTAAGCTAACACTCTGCTCGTGGGAGGGGAATAAGATGCTAAATTGTTTTGATCAGTGTTGGTTCAGGGAGGTATGTTGAATTGGAGCTCCCAAGCTCCTATCTAGGAATAGCACAATAGGATCAGGGGATAGTCCAGCCGCCATGACATTTTGCTCCTGTTCCTGAGATTTGTCATAGATACTTCAAAATCCAGTGAGGCAATCCTCAACCACGATGATCAACAGCAAGATGATGATGGTTCCATTTCATATTGCCACATCAATTTCATGTCAAATCCCACTCAATTTCCAAACAGTATAGTCACCACTTTAATAGATGCCAATCAGTCTTCCATTCCCAGTTTCTATTACATTGAACTTTGCTCTCTCAGTATGCAGAGGTCTAAGTTTTCATGTTATCACCTACCATGTTATTCCAGTCACTTAGTTTGTCTCCAGCACCACCTTATTTTTAATTTTTTATAATTATCTCTGCCTCATTTAATTGGATTACAAGTAATCCCTTCGCTGGTTATTCAGCTGTTGACACTTTACTCGCCATCTAACACTCTTGGTCACCTGGACAGACTTATCATCTGATACTCCATTCACACCAGTTGTATGGTCTTTTTATCTACCTGGCCTTGATCTCTCTGCCTATAACTTCTGGGTCTGTGTGCTCTCCCCTCACACTGCACCTGATGAAGGGGCTGCACTCCGAAAGCTTGTGATTTCAAATAAAACTGTTGGACTACAACCTGGTATCACGTGACTTCTGAGGTAGTAGGAACTGCAGATGCTGGAGAATCTGAGATAACAAAGTGTAGAGCTGGATGAACACAGCAGGCCAAGCAGCATCAGAGGAGCAGGAAAGCTGACATTTCGGGCCGAGACCCTTCTTCAGAAATGGGGGAGGGGAAGGGGGTTCTGAAATAAATAGGGAGAGGGGGGAGGCAGATAGAAGATGAATAGAGAAGATAGGTGGAGAGGAGACAAACAGGTCAAAGAGGCGGGGATGGAGCCAGTAAAGGTGAGTGTAGGTGGGGAGGTAGGGAGGGGATAGGTCAGTCCAGGGAGGACGGACAGGTCAAGGGGGCGGGATGAGGCTAGTAGGTAGGAGATGGGGGTGAGGCTTGAGGTGGGAGGAGGGGATAGGTGGGAGGAAGGACAGGTTAGGGTGGCGGGGACAAGCTGGGCTGGTTTTGGAATGCGGCAGGGGGAGGGGAGATTTTGAAGCTTGTGAAGTCCACATTGATACCATTGGGCTGCAGGGTTCCCAAGCGGAATATGAGTTGCTGTTCCTGCAACCTTCGGGTGGCATCGTTGTGGCACTGCAGGAGGCCCAGGATGGACATGTCATCTGAGGAATGGGAGGGGGGGTTGAAAGGGTTCGCGACTGGGAGGTGCAGTTGTTTAGTGCGAACCGAGCGTAGGTGTTCTGCAAAGCCGTCCCCGAGCCTCCGCTTGGTTTCCCCGATGTAGAGAAGGCCACATCTGGAGCAGCGGATGCAGTATACCACATTAGCAGATGTGCAGGTGAACATCGACTTGATGTGGAAAGCCTTCTTGGGGCCTGGGATGGGGGTGAGGGGGAAGGTGTAGGGGCAGGTGTAGCACTTTGTGCGGTTGCAGGGAAAAATGCCGGGTGTGGTGGGGCTGGAGGGGAGTGTGGAGCGGACAAGGGAGTCACGGAGAGAGTGGTCCCTCCGGAAAGCAGATAAGGGTGGGGAGGGAAAAATGTCTTTGGTGGTGGGGTCGGATTGCAGATGGCGGAAGTGTCGGAGGATGATGCGTTGGATCCGAAGGTTGGTGGGGTGGTACGTGAGGATGAGGGGAATTCT